ATGACGTAATGCGACCTTACCTTACACTGCCAATGACACATTTGATGACTTAATGCGACCTTACCTCTCACTACCAATGACACATTTGATGACGTAATGCGACCTTACCCCCTCACTGTCAATGACACATTTGATGACTTAATGCGACATTACCTTTCACTATAAATGACACATTTGATGACGTAATGAGACCTTACCTCTCACTGTCAAAGACACATTTGATGAATTAATGCGACTTTACCTCTCATCACCAATGACATATTTGATGATGCAATGCGACCTTACCTCTCACTACCAATGACACATTTAATGACTTAATGCGCCATTACCTCTCACTACCATTGGCACATTTGATGACTTAATGCGTCCTTACCCCTCACTGTCAATGACACATTTGATGACTTAATGCGACATTACCTCTCACTACCAATGACACATTTAATGACGTAATGCGACCTTACCCCTCACTGTCAATGACACATTTGATGACTTAATGCGACATTACCTCTCACTACAAATGGCACATTGGATGACGTAATGCGACCTCACCTCTCACTACCAATGACACATTTGATGACTTAATGCGACCTTGCGTATGACTACCAATGACACATTTGATGACTTAATGCGACTTTACCTCTCACTACCAATGACACATTTGATAACGTAATGTAACCTTACCTCACACTACCAATGACACATTTGATGACTTAATGCGACCTCACCTCTCGATACCAATGACACATTTGATGACTTAATGCGACTTTACCTATCACTACCAATGACACATTTGATGACTCAATGCGACATTACCTCTCACTACAAATGACACATTTGATGACTTAATGCGACCTTACCTCTCACTACCAATAACACATTTGATGACGTAATGCGACTTTACCTCTCACTGTCAAAGACACATTTGATGAATTAATGTGACTTTACCTCTCATCACCAATGACATATTTGATGATGCAATGCGACCTTACCTCTCACCACCAATGACACATTTAATGACTTAATGCGCCCTTACCTCTCACTACCATTGGCACATTTGATGACTTAATGCGACCTTACCTCTCACTGTCAATGACACATTTGATGAATTAATGCGACCTTACCTCTCACTATCAATTACACATTTGATGATTTAATGCGACCTTACCTCTCACTACCAATAACACATTTGATGAATTAATGTGACTTTACCTCTCACTGTCAATTACACATTTGATGACTTAATGCGACCTTACCTCTCACTACCAATAACACATTTGATAACGTAATGCGACCTTACCTCTCACTACCAATGACACATTTGATGATGTAATGTGACCTTACCTCTCACTACCAATGACACATTGGGTGGCGTAAAGGTGGCCTTATATCTCACTACAAATGACAAATTGGATGACGTAATCTAACTACCATTGACATATTGGATAACGTAATGGTGACCTTACCTCTTACTGTCAATGACACAGTGGATGACGTAATTTCTTGGCTGTTATCCCCCGCCGACACCCGTACAGTGTATTGCCCAATATCGGCATACTTGATATCTGTGATCTGAAGGTGATATTCTCCGTTACTGTGGTCACCAACTATGCTGTATCGGCTGTCAACACCAGTTATAACAGTGTCCGAAGAAATATCGATCCCATCCTTTGACCAAATAAGCGTTCCTTCTTTGTGGTCTACTTCACAATAAAATACCAGTGTTCCGCTTTCTGCAACATCTGCCGATTCGGGCTCTTTGGTAAAACTTTGTGTTTCGATATCTGCTCGAAAGAAATGATATTTCAAAAAGGTGTTTGTCTGTGTGTGAACATGTCATGCTATGCTATGCTATCTTATGTTATCTTATGTTATGTTACCTTGAACAGTGATGTAGATCGGCACGGTCGTGATCTCGTAGTCAAAAAGGTTGGTATCTTCCAAAGCGCCAGCAGACACACGTACTGTATAGGAGCCTGCATCTGACATAATTACATTGTTGATGTGAAGATCAAAGTTGACGTCTTGTGTTGTCCCCTGTATGGACATACGAGCATCGTTTACAGTCATGGAGTAATCACTACTTATATCAACATGGTTTCTGACCCATGTCACAATGCCATGTTTGTTGCTCACAGAGACTTGTAGAACCAATGGCTGTCCTTCTACTATTGTTATGTTATCTGGTGTTGTAATGAACCTCTGATGATCTGTTGAAAGAAAACAACTACGTCATACTTCATATCTGACGGATCTAATGTATGTATAACAGACAATTAATATTGATCATTTTGGTTAAGAATCTATACAACACAGTTGGCGATATATTATCATCTGGAAATTTCCAGTATACAACACAGTTGGCGATATATTATCACTGGAAATTTTCAGTATACAACACAGTTGGCGATATATTATCACTGAAAATTGTCGGTATACAACACAGTTGGCGATATATTATCACTGAAAATTGTCGGTATACAACACAGTTGGCGATATATTATCACTGAAAATTGTCGGTATACAACACAGTTGGCGATATATTATCACTGAACATTGTCGGTATACAACACAGTTGGCGATATATTATCATTGAAAATTGTCGGTATACAACACAATTGGCGATATATTATCACTGGAAATTGTCGGTATACAACACAGTTGGCGATATATTATCATTGAAAATTGTCGGTTTACAACACAGTTGGCGATATATTATCACTGGAAATTGTCGGTATACAACACAGTTGGCGATATATTATCATTGAAAATTGTCGGTTTACAACACAGTTGGCGATATATTATCACTGAAAATTGTCAGTACACGACACAGTTGGCAATATATTATCGATGGGGATTATTAGTATACAACACAGTTGGCGATATATTATCACTGAAAATTGTCGATATACAACACAGTTGGCAATATATTATCGATGAGGATTGTCATTATATACTACAATGCGGGTCAGATTGTGAACCCCATTTCGCAAAATATGGAATATCAGTTTATCGAATACGTGTCAGTACTACGGGCAGGGTGGCCAACTGTTCTATGTGCGACACGGGAGTCCTTTGTTACCACCAAGAGGTTGGAAGTAACTAAACTCAAGTATATACTTACCATGTATAATTAGTGTAGCATCCTGTGATTTTATTTCAAGACTATTCTCGTTAATTGGGGCAGTTACTCGTACGCTGTAAATGCCATTATCCCCATTCTCAGTTTCAGATATTGTTAGAAAATACTCTCCCTGGGATTGGTCACCCGTTATGGAATATCGGGAACTGTACGCACTGCTGGTGATGGTGACGTCACTGGTGATGTCAACACCATCTTTTGACCAGATAAGTGTACCCTCTTTATGATCGACCTGGCATTTTAGTACGATAGCAAGTCCCTCAACTGTCTCTGTGGTGCTGGGCACCACAACGAAACTTTGCATTGCGAGATCTGAAAATGTAAATTCATTTTGAAATATAAATTCCCCACATATTTCCGTCATATAAACTTTGTAAATTGATAGAAGTCACACTAATTAAAGATTCATAGATAACTACATATAACCACTGTCAACATAATCGCTTTATACATTGAAGAGCAACATTACCGAGTGTTTGTCTTTTTATAAATACTCCATACACATTTCTAACTTACCATGTACGTTAAGAGTTACTGGGTTTGTTTCTATAGGTATATCATTGAGATCGCCACCAGTTACCCTTACTATATAGGTACCAGCATCTGACAAGACAGCTCCATTGATGTGAAGTGTATAATCAGTGTTTATAGTTATACTTGTCACACTAATACGTGTATCTGATACCAGTAATGAGTCATCGTGCGTCAGCTTTGTGTCATCTCTATACCAAGACAGTGTGCCATGTTTGTCACTCACAGACACTCTCCAGTCAACGTCCTCGCCTTCATTTATTGTCAAGGTTGATGGCACATCCACGAATGCTTGGTTTGCTGTTTTGAATGTTACAATATATGTATTAGATGTCGTGCACAGGACCAAAACTCCCTGATCATCCAACTTGGTGCCTACCTATGTAGCCAATCAACATCCAGTCTGCTACTGGTACTAGACCCTCATTGATAACCCACCCTGGTACCTAACTATGTAGTCAATCAACGTCCAATCTGCTACTGGG